ATGGGATATTCACATTACAATCAATAAGGCATTTAATCGAATGGGATGATTTATATAATTCAGAAAATCAAAATAACCTGTCCATTGTTAAACAAAGCAAATAGGTACATAAGCCAAACAGCAGGCTTAAAGTTAAACTATAATTTCCACCTGAGATGGTTGCTACCATACTTCACATCAATGATGAGACAGAATCATTGACCAGCTGCCTCCTGCACGCCCCCCACTGGGGATGGAGCCTGCAACCCAGGCATGTGCCCTGACCAGGAATGGAACCATGACCTCCTGGTTCATAGGTCAATGCTCAACCACTGAGCCTCACCGGCCAGGCTCATTTAGTTTTAAAATCATGTTCCTTACTAGCATTTTTTTTGGGGGGGTCCACATTTTCTTAGGAAGTGTCAACAATAGTCATTAGCAAGATGCACCAAAACCAAACAAACTGTAAAGCAGGTAATTGTAGGTGAAGCCAGCTTGAGAACATGATTATTATGCACTTAATAAAACCCCCGTGCATGTCCTGACGACTCCTCCACCCATTCATCAGCGATTCTGTGCTGTCCTTGTAGGTCATCATTATAGCCAGTCACTGGAGGCCGGAAGAACGAAACCTTATTCGAATTATACGTCCCTGGCAGTCACCATGATCGACTGGAGACGGCAAGTCCAAAATGCGTTAGAGTCTTCCACCCAGAGTCTTGTTCTGATTGCTCCCTGTGCATCTATATTTTAAAAAATATATTTTATTGATTTTTTACAGAGAGGAAGGGAGAGGGATAGAGAGTTAGAAACATCGATGAGAGAGAAACATCGATCAGCTGCCTCCTGCACACCCCCTACTGGGGATGTGACCGCAACCCAGGTACATGCCCTTGACCGGAATCGAACCGGGGACCTTTTGTGCATCTATATTTTAATTTTCTGATTGCCTGAGTGAATAATTTATGGAAATAGCTCTAAACAAGTCTGGCTTCAGATGGATCTTCTCTCATTGGTTGAAGGGGTGCTGTTGCCAGTGACGTGAGTGCGGGTCACCCCTGGGGATCTCCCTCCTCGACTTGGCACTGCATGGAGTCCCTGTGCCTGCCGGCTGCCTTGTCCCTTTCCTACCTGCCCTCCTGTCCCTGACTCTGTACTCCACTGGCTGGGCCTGCAGGAGCCGCTGTCAGCTCCTCTTCCCTGACACTGACTTACTGTTTCCATGTCTCTGCCCTTCACCGAAATGTGAGGTCCCGGAAGGCAGGGCCTGTCTAGTTACATAATATTTACCACAGATCTTGGCACATTCTTTTTTGAAAAATATTTTTATTGATTTCAGAGAGGAAGGGAGAGGGAGAGAGAGAGAAACATCAATGATGAGAGAGAATCACTGATCGGCTGCCTCCTGCACGCCCCACACTGGGGATCGAGCCCGCAACCAGGGCATGTGCCCTGACCTGGAGTCGAACCATGACCTCCTGGTTCATCGATCTATGCTCAAGCCCTGAGCCACGCTGGCCGGGCTGAATGGATATCGTATTGCATGAGAACTGGTCATTATCCTAATACTCTGGTCCGAGCAATCCCTTCAGTTTCATCTCAAACTTAGGAAAATGAGGTAGAAAAAGACACCTCTGTTACACAGTGGACCAAAAAGCATTCCTGGATATGGGACAGGGGCAGCCACTCCGAGCATCCGGTAGTCAAATCAGAGACGGAAACAAAGTCGGTTGTGTTATTAGAAGCGGAGGTTGTAAACCCTCCAGCTGCTGTGTGTGGAGGCCTGGATTTGCATTCCGGAGCAGAATGAAAACCTCTGCCTGGATCAGCTCAATACAGTCACCGGGACTTTGTTTTATTTATTTTATTTTTTATTGATTTCAGAGAGGAAAGGAGAGGGAGAGAGAGAGAGATACATCAATGATGAGAGAGAATCATGGATCGGCTGCCTCCTGCATGCCCCATACTGGGGATCAAGCCTGCAACCAGAGCATATGCCCTGACCTGGAATCCAACCATGACCTCCTAGTTCAAAGGTCAACACTTAACCACTGAGCCATGCTGGCCCGGCCAGTCACAGGATTTTAAAAACAATGACCCTGACCAGCATTCCAAGTGCACATTCAACAGCCCATTTCTCAAGGCTGATCCTAAGAGGCCTCTTGATTTGGCCAACGGCAACCTGCTAGCGTGTAATCCAACACACGCGATTCCCCGTGGGGCCGAGGCAATGGTGTACAGTATGGAGCACTCCTTAGCCCGGGTTTGATCTGGGGGGAAATTTAAGCAATTGGCTGAATGGATGGAATGCACATCATCAGCAAAAATGTGGGTGATCACCTTGAGCAAGGTCAAGCCTCACCTCAAAAAGTAAATTTGGGTTTGCTTTACCCACCTGATGAGTGGGGGACTGAGTCTTTTAAGATTTACCATCCATCTCTCTAATAATTTTAACTTTGTTGTTATTGTTGTTGTTACTCACATGAGGATATTTTTCCATTCATTTTTAGAGTGAGTGGGAGGGAGGGAGAGAGAGAGAGAGAGAGAGAGAGAAAGAAATATCGATGTGAGAGAGACACATCGATTGGTTGCCTCCCGCATGCACCCTAACCAGCCAGGGATAGAGCCTGCAACCAAGGTATGTGCCCTTGACTGGAATCGAACCCGGGACCCTTCAGTCCACAGGCTGATGCTGTATCCACTGAGCCAAACCATTTGGGACTAATTTTAACTTTTTAAAAGCAACGATTACCAGATGTCCATCCTGACCATGGAATTCTTACCCATAAAAGCTCCAATGCCCATAAAAGTGTAACATTGAGCAACTTACTAATTGTGAACATTTCCAGCTAATTAGCTTATATTCAATATAAGCTAATTATTTTTTCGAGCTAGGCACTCGAAAAAACTTACCACATAGGGTTATTGTTAATAAGACAATGAAATGCTGGTGTTGGTTGCTATATATTAAGTCTTCTTTCTGAGTAATTGGGAAGAAAGACTCATTTTCTGTCCGGGCAACTCTTTTATTCAAAAAAACTGAATCCCTACCAGCCCCCTGCGAGAAAGCCCACAGCTCGTTACAGTAAGTGGCCGAGTTGGGTTTGGACTGAGTCACTAAATGTAGTCTCCCCACACCAGCTACTATAAAAAGGGGCTGTGCTTTCCATAATGACACTTATAGGGCAGGAAAAATGCCAAGATAATAACAAAAACTCTTTGCCGAAACCGGTTTGGCTCAGTGGATAGAGCGTCGGCCTGCAGACTGAAGGGCCCCGGGCTCAATTCCAGTCAAGGGCATGTACCTGGGTTGCGGGCACATCCCCAGTAGGGGGTGTGCGGGAGGCAGCTGATGGATGTTTCTCTCTCATCAATGTTTCTAACTCTCTATCTCTCTCCCTTCCTCTCTGTAAAAAAATCAATAAAATATATTTAAAAAAACCCAAAAAACTCTTTGCACCAACAATAAAAGCCATCCACTTCCTCCACGCCATGAACCCAGAACACAGGCTTCCTGATAACACGCACTAACCATCTGCCATTTGAACAATGGACGCCCTGTTACCTGGGCCATCCCACTGGCCTCACACCCTGCGAGGTCTAGACCTATATGTTTATATCTCAGTTGTTTTTCTTTCTTTTTTTAAAAAAAATATTTTTATTGATTTTAGAGAGGAAGGGAGAGGGAGAGAGAGAGAAACATCAGTGATGAGAGAGAATCATGGATCAGCTTCCTCCTGCATGCCCCCTACTGGGGATCCAGCCCGCAACCCGGGCATGTGCCCTGACCGGGAATCGAACCGTGACCTCCTGGTTCCTAGGTTGACGCTCAGCCACTGAGCCACGCCCTCTGGGCTCAGTTGTTTTTTTCTATTTAGCTTTTATTGGCCCAGAAGTGACAAGCAGCAGCAATGGAGGCAAATGGGAGGGGTGCCAGGTGCCAACGCCGCATGCCCCTGTTAGCAGATCTCAGAAGCCTTTCTCTGGGGCATTGGAGAGACTTATCCTCACAAGACTGGCCCCGAGCTCTGGCCTGGACCCACTCACGCCCAGCTCGGGCGGGATGACACGGGCAGCCCTTCCTGCTTCCCTGGGGCCAGAGAGGGGTTGGAGCTCTGGCTTCTAAGCGTTGGCAAACAGAGTCTCCTCTTAGAGGAGCTGCCTTGCACGCATGCGCTAGATCCTAGGCGCCTACAGCCATGGCAACACATCCTATATAAACTGCGGATGCTCACTCAGCAGGCGCAGTGACATTGCTAGCATACCTGCACTGCGGTTTCTGAATGTGTGTCATCCTCTCTGACAGCCAGGGAGCACGTGGGACCCACAGAAGGCACGCCTGCCATTTCAGATCTCAAAAACACAGGTGGGATTATTAGATTGTGCCCGGCTCGTGTGGCTCAGTGGTTGAGGGTCGACCTATGAACCAGGAGGCTTCGGTTCGATCTCCAGTAGGGGGCGTGCAGGAGACAGCCAATCCATGATTCTCTCTCATCATTGATGTTTCTGTCTCTCTCTCTCCCTCCCTCCCCCTTCCTCTCTGAGATCAATACAAATATGTATTTTTAAAAATTATTAGATTACCATGCAGCCATGCACGTGTTGTCTAAGACATAAAACAGTTGTATCTGGTAGGACACTACTAGAGGCATGGAGAGTGAGAAATCTCCACTTCCCTCATCGACAATAGAGTTGTTTTTTAGAGGCCAAATACCTGTTAGGAAGTGGAAATTCAGAAGGCAGGACAGAGAAGACCACCTATTAAAAATGCCGATTTTGGCCTGGCCCGTGTGGCTCAGTGGTTGAGCATCAACCTATGAACCAGGAGGTCACGGTTCGAGTCCCAGTCAGGGCACATGCCCGGGTTGTGGACTTGATCACCAGTAGGAGGTGTGCAGGCAGCCGGTCAATGATTCTCATCATTGATGTTTCTCTCTTCCTCCCTCTCCCTTCCTCTCTGAAATCAATTAAAAAATGTTTTAAAAAATGCAGATTTTATTTTTAAAAAGTAACAATGAAGACATCATTGACAGTGTCTATAACATAAGACCTGGTCCAGAACCTGTTTAAATGAAGAAATCGAATGTAACGTCAGAGCAGTGAACATTTTATCACCATGTGAGTCCCACTGCTGTTCTAAGTGCAGCTTGTGGTTTTGTAGGGAAGTTAACTTAGTTAAAGCAACAGCATTAGTCCACCCTTCCTTGGCGAAAACAGACTAGAAAGAGGCAGGTACTGTGTTTGGACGATTAAGAAAAAAACAAAACAAAATCCTTGCCCTAACCGGTTTGGCTCAGTGGATAGAGCATCAGCCTGCGAACTCAAGGGTCCCAGGTTCGATTCCAGTCAAGGGCATGTACCTTGGTTGCGGGCACATCCCCAGTAGGGGGTGTGCAGGAGGCAGCTGATGGATGTTTCTCTCTCCTCGATGTTTCTGACTCTCTATCCCTCTCCCTTCCTCTCTATAAAAAAAAATCAATAAAATATATTTTTAAAAAAACAAAAACAAAATCCTCCAGGAAGGTGGCCCTAGGCGTGTGTGGCCACGAGGGGAACGAGGCCTGGCCTTAGAGTTCTGTGCCTGTAGACGTTTCCCTTTCTGTAGCATCTGATGATCGAAAAAAGCTGTTAGTCAATGTTGACTTGCGGTTCAGGCTGCGGGGACCACAGAACAGGAACTGCCCAGCAGCGGAGTTAAAAGGAAAAAGCTTTTATTGTGGGTTCACTTACTATTTTAATTCACTTGTTAGTCAGCTTTAAAGGTGTGGTTGCTGTTTCTCCTTATGGCTCATTCTCTTCTTTCCTTTATTCTTTTTTAAAAAAATACATTTTTATTGATTTCAGAGAGGGAGGAGATACAGAAATATCTATGAGAGAGAATCATGGATCGGCCGCCTCCTGCACGCCCCATACTGGGGACCGAGCCCACAACCCTGGCATGCGCCCTGATGGGGAATCGAACCTGGGACCTCCTGGTCCGTGAGATGATGCGCCATCCTTTGAGCTACACCAGCCGGGTTCTTTCCTTCATTTCCCCCGGTTACCTTTAAGGTAGGAGGTGCGGCCTTTCCCAGAGCAGTGGAAAAATCTAGATGTGTCATAGGCCTCAGGTTGCTCTGAGTCTGCTGCTAACCCAATTCGGGTTATTTCGTGCTTCTGAGGCCTTAGTTTCCTTATCTGAAACCCGGGGTATTGATTTTCTCACCAATGTCTGAAAATCAAATATGACCATGTCATATGCCATGTGTACACCCAGCACCAGTTCTAGGGGTTGCCTGGCTCTGTACCTCTTGCCAGGATCATGGTGGTAAAAATGGAGCCTGCTAGCCCCAGCCGGTTTGGCTCAGTGGATAGAGTGTCGGCCTGCGGACTGAAGGGTCCCTGGTTCGATTCTAGTCAAGGGCACATGCCAGGTTTGTGGGCTCATCCCCAGTGTGGGGCGTGCAGGAGGCAGCCAATCAGTGATTCTCTCTCATCATTGATCCCTCTCTCCCTCTCCCTCTCTGAAATCAATAAAAATATATATTTTTAAAAAGGGAGGCTGCTATGTCACCATGGACCCTTCAGGGACCTATGGGAGCACGGACCTATGAGGATCAGAGAAGGCAATCTCCTATGCGCCTTAGAGTGTGCCAACCACACCTGTCCCCTTGCCTGCCTTTGAACTAAAGCGCGGGCGACCTGCGCTCCCGCAGTCACGGCCATACCTTTGGACACACCTTCCTTCTCCAAGGAGCCAACCCAGACCACAGGGCTCCCATCATCCTGCCCTCTGCGCCCAGCCCAGCGCCCAGAACCCAGCGATGGCGCTTCTGGCATCAGCTGGAGCGCAGGCGGGCGCGCCCTCCTC